TTGTGCCTCAATGTTCACGACCATTTCCGCACCCAAACTGTAGGCGCGCTGAGCGTCCCCGCGACAGACCCTCGCGGCCTCGTCGAGGCCATAATACACTCGGCCTTTCCGCCCCTCCAGAAGCTCAAGTGACTCCTTATTTAGAGACAAAACCACTTGTCTTGAAGGCCATCAGAGCCCTCGAATCGGATGACCCTCCAATCACTCGTTGGAAGGACTGGGTTCATCATTTGAAGCATCTTTCGGATGCTCTCTAGTAACGAAGGTGTCGCCGGTACCCAAGCCATTGCTCTTGGTCTGACTGGAATGTCCTTCCAGTCTATAACATCCAGCAGAGCCCCTGGATAGACAGAGCCTATCTTTGCAACGGCGGCCTTGTACAGCGGCATCGATCTCGGGTCCTCACAGGCGACCACTTTTACGTGGCCCTGGTACCAACCAGCGTCTTTTCAAGCTGAAGGGGTTCCGGGGTTGTCCAGCAGAACATCAATAATGACTTTCGCCAAGGCTGCCTTCACCCACCTAAATTGTTCCTTCGGTATGGACCCGAGCTCGTTGCCTCGAACTAAAACCCCTATGAGGATTCGGTCTTTCGCAACCTCGGCAGAGCTGGGTCCGCCCATCCAGGAGTGTGGCCGGACTCTTGGCTGCAGGATTTTTACCTCCACCGACCTTTGTCGCTTTGACGGAGGTTTTCCACCGAAGCTCCGAGAAAGACCTGGATGCTCCACGATTTGGGGAAGACGAAATTTTTAATATTTTTTGTTGTTGTTGTCGGGGTTTTTTATTTTGTTGTGATTCATCTTGTTCGTACGACCACCTGTTCAACGAGGCAAGCGCAGGGGTCTGCGTATTGTGTGCGGAAATCAGACGGTACACCGCGACAGCGCCCTGCGGCTTGGTGTCAGGAAGGCGCCGTTCTGTTAAACCTCCTGGCTGCAAACCATACAATGGACACGGTGTCGCATAACACCGTGGATTAGAGGAGAGGAGTTGGGTTGGGATAAGAAAAATAAGGATAGATGAGGGCAACTTCTCTAGGTAAAACTGCGCTAGCAAAATTTCCCTCCGAGAAAGATAAAAAAACTAAAGAGCAGGGAAACGCTTTTCGGGTCAAAACTGGCAATTCTGTCAAACACATCGAAGACGCCATTTTCTGCAGTTGTTTTTTCATCGATTTCCTAAATATGTACATATATGCAATTATAAAGGCAAATAAACAGAAATACTTACAAATCTTGATATTGATATTGACTTTTTGCGACTACCAACCACATTTCATTTCTCTCAAAACAATATTTCCGTTGCTTTATTTTCTTGTTGGATCTGCTTGCACAAATACAAACGGCATCGCACTTTCTTTATAATAGCGTTTTAAATAACTAAAAAAATATTATATTTATTACAAAAAATTCTACACAATCTCACTATTTTTACTAGCAGCGGAGTAATGGCGGACTTTTTCGTTGAAACTAACAGCAGCGGAAACTGACGAGTAAATAGCAGCGAGGATACGGAAGAAACAGTGTTGCATGCATCAAGCTTTCGCTTATTCGCCAGTTTCCTTTTCGCCAGTTTCCTTTTCGCGAATTAACAAAAGGTTGTTGCAACAGCGGTTTTGAAGTACAGTGGCAAGGCGAATTAATACAAGGTGGTGTTGGCAGAACAAAAACAAAAATTACAATAACAAATTATACGCACATTGACAATCAGTTTAAAAAAAAATTACAATCGACACAAATTTTGACAAAAGGTACGAATTCGCCGTGAAATCAACGTCTACCGGAGCCGTTGTATTCGCCTTGTACAATAGTTTTTACTAAGGCGAATTTATAGCCGTCATCGATTCGCCATCAGTTAGCGAGTGGCGAAACGAACGAACTCAATGAGATACAACCAAACTCGCTATCGTCTATCAGTGCTAGCTAACTTTGTTTTTGCTTTCACATGCAAAATTCTTCTTTAAGCGACCGGAACTCAAACATAGCAAGCAGCGAAGTGGCGAATCGTAGACGGCTTATGTGTTTCGCCGCACGGCTTCTGATATCAAATCGAAAAATTTTGTTTGAATTTCTACACACACTCTTACAGATTTTGACAGTTTATGCCGCCAAAGCAAAAACAAATTACATGTAAATTTTTGTTTTTGTACTTCTGCCATCACCTTATATTAGTTATGTTTTTTACAAATTATCCAGTAACTTACCAGCAACTCTCCAGTAACTTTATTTCTAAGAATTCGCTCTCATAGAAAAAATTTGCAATAAAGTACGTGAACGCTTTTCCAGTAATAATTTGCAAGTTTCATGAACAGCTGATAAATTGGTTGTTTATTCGCAGCAAATTCCTAATAAAACAATATATTTTGTATTTAAATAGGTTTATTTCGTGAAATTCAACAATAAAAACCCACAAACAGTTTCCTTATTAGTTTAAATTTCATCCAGAAACATGCGATCAGCTGTTTTTCGTACTGGCAAATTCTTACAAGTAAAAATTTATCCAGTAAAATCCAGTAAAAATTTGCAACCTCAACTGTCATTTTTCGCTCTCTCAATATCCCCTACTTTGCAAGTTTTTGCGTACGAAAACGCCAAAACATGAAAATTCGTAAAAACTTTTACTGGATTTTACTGGAAATGAGTAAAAAAAACGCAACTATTAATGCTTTATATATAAATGCTTTCAAATATGGGAAGCATCGAATTTTTCATATTTTTTAAGTTTTCATGGACGGTTTGGTGGCCTTACTTCAAGCTATTAACTAAAACTTCAACTAAACGTCAGCGCGGGTTATCGATATCCTACGGCCATTCTGCAAAACCACGTAACACATTTGCTGCCAAGAATAGGATTTGCTCACACAAGCTCTTGGCTCAATCCTTATTCATTCGTTCTGAAATATACTAGCCAGAAATGCAATTGCTTTATAAAAAAGAGAATCATTTTGAAATAAGAGTGTTTTTACTCTCTTGAAAATAATTTATGCAGCCTCACATACGCGGTTTCGTATTTTGTTGATACGCGGTTTTGTGCTTTAAACGACGATATATAGGTATGTTATTAGGCTAAAAAGCACAAATATAAAGGGGATGCATATCAAATTTTGCAAACAAATTGTTTTCCATCCTAATATCGTTACCTTAATATAGTGAAAGGTCTCTTCAAAATCGTTGGTTTAAAAAAACCCTATAGCTAATTTATGAATGTAGTAGATGTTATCTTAATATAGAAAAAAGTTTCTTCAATTAATAAACACTGAAGCGAATTGATGGATGTAGTAGATGTTTTTAAATTCTTTTATGCCTTTAGTGAGTAATCGAACGACCTTTGAATCACGAAAGAATATTATATACATATGTGTATGAATATTGCTTCTTTACTACTAAAAAATATGTTTCGAATCCTTTGGGAATGTCGTGTGCTAAATTTTCGTGGGTGATTTCACGGAGAATGTCTGGCATCACTGAGTCAAGCTAAAAGGTGATTTTTGTCTTTAAATGTAAAATGTAACTGTAATCTGTAATTCGCATTGTAGGGAAAATATCCGCATCGGGCGCTTGAATAATCTTCCGCCCCATAACTCATTTGTGTGTGTGGAGCTGTGGGTCGGAAGTTCCTTAAACCAGATGCTATCCCAACCCTTAAATTGGGTGAGTAAATGTGCGGTGATAAAAGTAAGCTAACCAGATTACGATAACCGGGACGACAAATTTTTACTTATAATTCGTACTGTGTGAGATCGTGCAAATTTATGAGAAAGAATAAAAAATGGATTGAAATATTTTTCAACCTGCAATTTTTATATTGCTTTTGTTTATAGTTACGCGCTTTGAAACATTATATAGTGGTTGTTCACAGTTGCCTGGTTATTAGGTTATCTTATTATTCTGTAGTGTATTTTATTGTTGTAAACTGAATAAAAAAATATAACCAAATAACCTGACAAACAGGCACCCCTCTATCCCCCATATTTTCCTTAATTCCGTACTCCGGGGTTACTATTCTAAAATTTTCCGAAATAGCTTATCTTCTAAAATTGGAGTGTATCGCGTACCAGAGTTCTAAGACACTTTTACTTTGGACGGCAATTCTTTTGAAAACACCCTTATGACCGAACGCACTCTCTACTCGCTAACAGCTGTCAAAAAAACTCGCTTATTCAGCAGTGCTGCCACTACTAAATCAGTTTCCAAACTACCAAAAAAATGTTCAGCATTTAAACAAAGTTTCTTGAATTTACGGGATTTCAGATACACAAATTAGCAGTAAAAAATAAAATACCAAAGAATTACAGTGTTGGTTAACCATTTATACCAAATTTTAAAGTTGTACTAACTTGATCAAAAAATGTATATCAATATGCATACAATCACACTTTTTTACTAAATGCCTATCTTTCAAGCTAAGGAGTTTTTCTTTCAGGATAGGCAATTTTTCGTTCAATTTCAACAGCTTATGAATCATAACTTTTAAAGTGCTTTTTAGTTTGCAGAAAATTTTGTGAAGTGCAAAATGAAAGCGTATTGAACGAAATATGCAATAAGAAAAATTCTTTTTCAAAACAAGTTTCGGTACTTGTCTGTACATACCTTCGGACAAAAATCCGCATTTCATCCACTGGTTTCTTTTTTCGGATGCATTTTCGGATTTTTTTCTGGCTGGGAAGCGAAAAAATTTGCGTAAGCTTCATCGAGCCAGCCAAACTACCAAAGTAAAATGAAGCTACCAATTTTGGTCCAATTGGATCAAAACGGCAACGCTGTTTTTTAGAAATGTCATTTATAAACGAGAAAAACACCTGCGGCGAATTCGCTTCTAAATTCTTGTAACATCAAGTTATTTCACTCGCGCATACGCACTTTACATACGGTAATCAAAAATGTTTTATTGCCAGTACACGTATCATTTCACTCTCACATATACCCAACATTAGTTGCTCGTTACAGCAGCAGCAGTTGCAAACGGCCAAAACGAGCCAGACTAGTTTGTGTAGCGATTTCGGTCGTATTTCCATCGTTGTCGTTTTCTCTATAATTGCGTTATTTTTTCGCAATTCGTGAGATTGTGTACACTAGTGCAAAGTGTACAAAATGACAATTCAATGGATCGTCTATCGTAATTAAGTGAATTCGTGTAAATGCAAGCAAAGCATAACGAGAGATTTTTGTGTGAGAAATAGTTGTAGACGAAAATTGTACGGCGTTTCCCACACACAAGTACCCAGCAGCCAAAGTCGCAGGCACAGTTTTCGTCCCTCATACGTCGCGCGCAGCACTTCGGGTGCGTTAACCTAGTGCTAACTCTTTCGGTTGTGTGCATTTTGTGCTATGAATGTATAAACTACTCGCATTTTCGGTATTGACAAGCATTGTAGTGTACTCGCTCCGACGTGGAGTTAAACAGTGTTTTTGTAAATTTCTCTGCACTCGCTTTCCATTCGTAAGAATTATAAGAGTGTGTATGGTATGTGTTTGCGTGCGTGCGAAAACGCAAGAAATAGACAACATAACTACAAGAAAAGTAAGGAGAACGAATTGCTGCTCATCTGTTTATTTGTTTTCGTTTTTATTAAGAGCAGCGTGAATAGAACAGTAGTCGAGATACCGTGAGTAAGCCGTCATTCATTAGTGTGAGCGAGTTGGACTGTGTGAAGAAATTTCAGATGAGGAACATTGTGGCAAATGGAACCTTATGTTTGAAAACAAAGTCAGAGTTGTTACTAGCAAAAGCTGATATTAAATAAAAAGTTAAATAAAATTATCTCCCCGCAGGGATCGCATTATTGGCATATTAGGGGAATGATAAAAAGGTAAGTCTGTCATCTAAAAATTTTAAAATGCTCTATATATGACCCGAAATATGTTGCTTCTAATTTTTGTGGCACCACTCAGCAACGCAATTTTTCGTTGCATTTTTGTATGAACTTCTATAAATTATATTAATGACATAAAAGCCGACTGAGGATGGATAAAAACAAACAAAAAGCTGTTCAAACCATGATACAAAAAATAAGATAGTTTCATTACTATTTTTTTTTTTTATTATAAAGCAGATTTTTGACATTTCTCCAGATGTAAACATTAACCATAGCTTTGCCACATTGAAATTGTTTGATAGGGGAGATTTTCTTTTAAATATTTGGAAGTAAAATTTTCATACAAACAATAGTAAGTTGATGTGTTCGATAATCAAATTTGTACGTTTTTCACAAGCGTTTAAAAGACCCTTTGGGTACTGTTTATGAATTTGTACAACGATTTTGGGTTGATGTGCCGAAACGCGTCAATCGAATCAAAAAACTTTTACACACACTTGTAGACAACAGTTCACGCTTTATTACAAAAATTTACATTACTAAATCTTAGCACTAATTTAACAATAATGTCGGTTGGAAATATGGTATTTGTTATAAATTTGTATATACATTTTTATATACAAGATATTTTTATAAAATACCCAGTAACCAAAATAGACATCACTGGGGCGGCAGCCCCAGGTTTACCACACAGAAAGGGAATTCTAGTTACCTCATCCTTTCCCAAGGTTACATCACTGGGGCGAAAGGTGTTCTCTGCAAAAGGTGTTCAGCACCCCTTCTTCGGACGCAAGTTTAACTTTGTTTTTTCCTTGCAAAAAATCTAAAATTCCCCTATTTTCAAACAGCTCCCCAGAGGTCTGTGGGAGGGGTTGGGGGTAGGGGTGCCTTTTCATAAAGGGGGTTTGTGGGGCCCACACCCCTCCCCCTCCGCCCCCACCCCTACATCGTTGTACAAATAGCTAAACATTGCCCTTCATTAACTCCGTTAATTTGCTTGACACCATTTTTTCCATAGCTATTTTCATGCTTTCCATCATTTCACCCATAATTTTATTGACGGAACTATCTACCATATGGACATACTGGCCATTGCATTCGTCGCACATCCTCCTCAGGTTCCTATTATGGATATCAGCCTCAGCTCCGGAGCTGTTATGCTCACACAATTCGAGTGGAACCACTTTTGGCATACCCCTTCACATCCAATACATTCATCATTTGTAAATTTTTTCTTGCATTTTCCACAGGTCTCATGTCCGCCGCTGGCCATATTGGTATAAGTTACTACCAACTCTATAAGTCTGGGTTAATGTTATCAGAATTCATATATTTTCCACTGCCACTTGTTTACTTCTAGACTCTTTCAACTTTTTTACATCTTTTTACTAAATTTAGTTTAATATTTTTATTTATTTTGGCTGTTAAGTATACAAGCGCTATTCCGACCACTTGCATCCAGTGTTGCCAGCGTTTTTTTGTGTGTGGAAATTCAAACAAAATTTTTCAATTTGACATAAGAAGCTGGGAGGCGAAACACCTATACAAAATCCGTTTTCATGGTAGTCTTGTGGACCTTTTAATACCATACCGTTTAATTAACCCTTTTTAATAATAAAAGATACTTTTTTTTAGGGTTTGAGTACGTTTGTAAATTATATATATATGGCAGTAATACTTTTGTCTTCTGGATGGCAACCCTATGTTACATTTTTGCTTACTTGTGCTGCTTCCACATTTGATATTTCGACGAAACGCATAATTAATTAACAAGAATAACCTGGCTAAGAACTTTTGATATAAGTTCCTTGCTTGTTGTTGTTGTTGTAGCGGCTACAACAACCCCGCCCAGATCGGTTGGTATCTCAGTCGTTGTCGTCAAGTTCCACTAACGGCAACCCTAGGAAGCGTGCAGCTTCTGTGGGATCTGTCCACAGGGACAGGGCCGTTAGGGTAGTCGGGTTTTCCGGGCATGCGAAGAGATGGTTCGAGTCATGTGGGGTCTCTCCGCATGCCGGACATTCGTTCGGCACATCCTCATTCAGCCTACTCAAGTAGGAGTTTAACCTGCTGCAGTAGCCGGAGCGAAGTTGAGCAAGTGTAGTGCGTGTCTCCCGAGGCAGATGAAGCTCTGTCTCGTCAATGTCCGGGGGTGGTATGCCTAGAACGGCATTCACAGGTCGAGAGTCTACATAACTCGAGACTGAGTCCCTGTGAATGCCGTTCAGGGCCTGTCTGTACGCTGTCGGGTCCAGAGGTTGCTTAATGAACCTCTGGACTTCGTCCGTCAGTTCATATAGATGCCTCCTGACGTGCCTAGGCGAGGGCTCCTCTGCAAGCAGCTGTCTGTTTGGGTGGCCACTTCTGTGGCTCCCGATCAGGAACTGCTTGCAGAGCATTATGTTGTGCTCCCTAACTGGGAGCATTTGCGCCTCGCCGTGCAAGTGATGTTCTGGCGACATCAGGAGGCATCCCGACGCTGTCCTAAGTGCCGTATTTTGTCCCGTCTGTAGCTTCGTCCACTGCGTCCTACTAGTCCCTGGCGACCACACTGGCGCTGCGTAGTTCAAGACCGGCCGGCCTATTGCCTTGTATGTTGCCAGCAACGTTTCTTTGTCTTTGCCCCAAGTACTGCCGGCTAGCGACTTGAGGACCTTGTTGCGGCTCTGTACTTTATTGACAATAGCGGTTGAGTGCGCAGAGAAGGAGAGCAGACTGTCGAAGGTTACTCCGAGTATTTTGGGGTTATTCACCGTCGGAATTGGTGTGTCATCGACGTGAATCCCCAGCGGTAGCCTGACCTCCTTCGTCCAGATTGTGAACGCGGTCGCGGAGGATTTCGTAGGGGAGAGGGCTAGACACTTTGCAGTGAAGAAGCGAGAAAGTTCGGAGAGATAGCCGTTTACTTTCGAACACAGGTCATCAATTCCATTCCCAGTCGCCATAATCGAGCAATCGTCGGCATAGGAGACAATCGAGACTCCCTCTGGTGGTTGAGGGAGCTTTGAAATATAAAAGTTAAACAGTAGCGGGGAAAGGACACCACCCTGAGGAACCCCCTGTTTTATTTTTCGCTGCTTACTCGTTTTGTCTCTGAACATTACCGACGAATGTCGACCACTTAGATAATTTGCCGACCACCGTTTGAGCCTCTGTGGGAGAGAGGAGGCCTCTATATCTTCTAGTAGCGTGGAATGGCAGACGGTGTCAAACGCCTTTGACAAGTCCAACGCTACTAGAATCGTTCTCTCACAGGGACGGTTACGGTTAAGGCCACGAGTTATCTGAGTGTTTATGGCGTTAAGTGCTGTTGTTGTACTGTGCACTTTTCGGAAACCATGCTGATGCTTCGCTGGGGTCAGGTGATTTGTGAAGTACGGGAGCAGCAAGGCCTCGAGTGTCTTCGCTACCGGGGAAAGGAGTGTAATCGGACGATACGAATCTCCTTTGTTTGCCGGTTTCCCCGGTTTGAGCAGTGGGACCACTCTCCCCACCTTCCAGATGTCTGGGATGATGAGAGTGGCCATTGACAAATTGAGGACCTCCGTTAGGTACGCTACCCCCGCAGGACCCAAATTTTTCAGCATCAGCATGCATATTCCGTCGGGACCCATGGCTTTGGAGGCTTTCGCCTTCCCGATGGCCACCTGAACTTCACCGCAAGTGAAAGCAAGGGGGGCACAAGTTGTTGGCAGTTTGTGCAGCCTTCTGGTCACTCGACGCTTGGCTTTGTCCACCGGAGGATGCAGTATGAACTGCCGGCTAAAATAGCTCGCGCATCGCTCCGGGTCCGACGAAGCATGGTCGCCGAAGGAAATTTCGACTCTGTCGTCGTGCTTCGTCGGATTAGACAATGACCTCACGGTTGACCAAAGCTTGCTCACACCACAGGTGAAGTTGCAAGTCTTCAGATGCTCCTCCCACTTCTTCCGCTTATGTACGTTTACAAGTTGCCGAATCTCCGCGTTGAGATCCCTGATACGGGGATCTCCGGGATCGGCCTGACGAAGGCTATCACGCTCATTGGCTAAAACAGCCGCTTCGGCAGGGAAGTTTGGACGTGGGTCCGATATGCACCCTGCCGGTATGAAGCGAGCTGCAGCAGCAGTGATAGCCCTGCGGAACTTACGTTCACCGAGATGGACGTCGGTTGGTGTGGGGAGCGATGTGAAGGTGTTTTCAGTAAACTCCGCGTAACCTTTCCAGTCAGCTTTAGAAAAGTTGACATAGGTCCGGTGTTTGGCGGAGGCAAAGTCGGTTGGTTTATCAATCGAGATGACTATGGGTAGATGGTCTGATGCTAGAGTCAGCATAGGTCGCCACGTTATGCTGTTTATCAGACCAGCGCTGACTATTGTGATGTCTGGCGAGCTACTGCAGTTACCCATAATCCTGGTGGGTGCGTCGTCGTTCATTGTGCAGAATGTCGAATCGTCTATCTGCTCAGCCAAGTCTGTTCCCCTACGATCGTTTGACAGGCTTGAGTGCCAAAGATCGTGGTGCGCATTAAAGTCACCTACTACCATACGGTTTTCACCTCTGAGGAGCGCACCTATATCAGGGTGATATCCTGCCGGGCAGCAGGTGACAGGGGGTATGTATATATTAAATATTTCGAGCTCGACATCGCCTGACCGGATAGCGATGCCCTGACATTCTGCGGTCGATGTCTGCTTCGATAAGACGATACTGCACGGTGTGGTGCGTGATGAACGCTAAGCCACCACCATTATCTCGCTCGCGATCTCGACGGTGCACGTTGTACCCGGCACAATTCAACAAAGTTGAATTGCTTTGCAACTTCGTCTCTTGGACCGCAACTATTAATATACCATGCCGACACATGAAGGCGGTTATCTCCTCAATCTTGCTCTGTAGCCCGTTGCAGTTGAATTGGAGGAGCTTCATGTGGTTCGGGAGACGTGTTGTGATGTGGGGTGTGAGTGAGGTGTATGTTCTTGCCGCCGTTGGCTGTGTGTGCTGCTGAGGTGATT